TTATTTTGACCCCACGGGGTGAGATCTTGCGTGGAGCCCCAGATCGAGGGAGATTATCAGTGGTCTTGTATGTCTTCCATTTTCTAATAATTGCTCCCACAGTTGATTTCTTCACATCAAGCTGCTTACCTATTGCAGATTCAGTCTTCCCAGCCTGGTGCAGGTCTACAATTTTGTTTCTGATGTCCTTTGACAGCTCTTTGGTCTTGGCCATAGTGGAGTTTGGAGTGTGACTGTTTGAGGTTGTGGACAGGTATCTTTTATACTGATAACAAGTTCAAACAGGTGCCATTAATACAGTTAACAAGTGGAGGACAGAGGAGGCTCTTAAAGAAGAAGTTACAGGTCTGTGCGAGTCAGAAATCTTGTTTGTTTGTAGGTGACCAAATACTTATTTTACCGAGGAATTTACCAATTAATTCATTAAAAATCCTACAATGTGATTTCCTGGATTCTTTCCCCCTCATTCTGTCTCTCATAGTTGAGGTATACCTAGGATGAAAATTACAGGCCTCTCTCATCTTTTTAAGTGGGAGAACTTGCACAATTGGTGGCTGACTAAATACTTTTTTGCCCCACTGTATCTCCACTCATAATAGTACATCAAATGTCATTAGTCAATTTAAATGTTCTATTCATAATATGAACCTGCAAAAGTAACAACTAACTCATCTTTTCAAATACATGTAGTCGAGAGTTTTAGCTAGTTTACTTCACTTTATCATGTAGAGAAAACTGCTGTCTCGTTCATACTAATACAATCCTAAGTGGTACACAGCCCCTCGTATATTCTATAATGCTCCGGGATAAGGTTGAAAGTGTCACATTGGTTGAGGCTGGCAGGGCTCCTGCGGTCCACCTTGTGTTTGGTGAACTTATTCATTTAGGGGTGAAGAGTAAAATCTGATATGTATTATGCACTCTGTCTAACGGGTCAAGCACAGTAATATATAACATGTTCTGTTCAGTTTGTTTGAACATACTACATCAGTGTGTGAGAGACCTGACACTTTCTGCTTAGTCTGACGCTTATAACAAATATCAACTGGTATATATCACAATCAAACGTGTTGATTAAGCAAGTGTTTGTTTAAATGTCTATCTGTGTAGCTTTACTTTCAGCACTTCAGGATGGTCTCGGGGTTAAAGTGTGTTCACTTCCTGTAGGATCCAAGCGATGGCTGGACTGGAGGAGAGAGATCGAGCTGCTGTCAGACCTGGCATACTACGGTTTAACCACATTGTCAGGTCACTAAGAAATCTCACTTTACTATGTTCAACAAATCTGTTATTGTAACTAATCTGTAATAACTGCTATCACACTGCTTTATACATGCTTCACTTATTTTAAATACTGCTACTGGTACTCGTTGTGGTCCCCCTGGATATGTATTTTTGTAAATTATTTTATTTTAAATGTTTTCTTCTATTTTATGCATGCCTCTTAATGAATATGTTTGCAGTATTTGGCTCTTTTGCTGTAACAATGCCATTTCCCCTCTGTGGGACGATTAGAGGTTTTCTGATTCTGATAGTTAGTCTTCTTGTGATTAACTCATGTCCTTCTCCCCCAGGTTACCAGACCCTGGGCGAGGAGTATGTCCACATGGTCCAGGTGGACCCCACTAAACACCGGGTCCCCTCCCGGGCCAGACGGAGCCTCTTTGTCCTCCTCCACTCCTTCTTCCCTTACCTGCTGGAGAAGGTGCTGGTGAGCCTGGAAAACGAGCTGGAAGGCGGGGGGGCGAGGCAGCGGCAGGCCGCGTCCTGGTCGTGGAGCCTGGAGGCCTGGCTGAGGAGGGGGGTGCAGAGGGTGGTGGGGCTGCTGCCGGAGCCCCAGAGGAGGGCCTGCCTCCCGGCTGTGTCTGTCCTCCGGCAGGCTCTCACCCTGCTGCAGCACCTCCATGTGGCTCTGTTCTACCTCAGCGGATCCTTCTACCACCTGTCCAAGAGGGCGGCTGCCATCAGATATGTACGTCATGTAGATTTCTTTACATGTCATTTATATCACATATTAGACCAAGTAGAAACATATTTTTTTATTTTGTAAAATTCTGATACAAGAGAAGGCCCTATGTCTGCATTCATACTCTCACTCTCTCAACCAAACATCCAGTGCTGGAATGTAATTAAGTACATGTACTGAACGTTTTAGGTATTCTACAATACTTTATACTTCTACTATATTACATTTTGGAATCAAAATTGTACTTAATACCACTACATTTATCTGACAACATGTGTTACTGCTTATACAACATATACATCAACCAATGAATTATGATGTACTTATGTGGATTAAGATCTCCTGTAAAAAGTCACTAAAAGTAATTTAGCTCAATTTTTATTAACTGCAAAATGTAAATAATGAACACATGAATAGATCACTAATTATAATCCAGTAATGTTTCCAAAAATGAGCGTTCTGCTTAGTTCTAAAACTTTTGTAAGTTTACTTAAGTAAAGTAATGAATGCAGGTCTTTTTTTCTTGTGAGTATTTCTACATTGTAGTATTATTCATTTTAATTTTGTAAAAGATCCAAGTTCTTCTTCTGCCTCTGTACTAAGTAAACATTTGAGGTACTTGTACTTCAGTTGAGTATGTTTTGAATTATCCTACTTTATACCAATATTGTACTTTCTAATCCACTAATTTATCTTACAAGATCGCATATTGAGGATATTAATACACATTGTAAATCCACTAAGGTTATATCATTCTATTATATAATGTATTATCTACCCAACAGTATTTAGTTATTAGAATGAGCTCCACCTTTACCAGGTTCACATTGAAGTGACACATTATTGCATCAATAATTGTAATACAATAATAAAACATGATACTGAAATTGGTCATACTACATAAGAAGCTCTTTTAATCTATGCTTTGAGTATATATTTGAGTAAAAGATCTGAGTACTTCGAATATCAGAGGTCATGTTTGCTACCGCCAGTATGTGTTCATTAGTAATTACGATCAACAGTCAAAAGGGGCTGGATTGTAAATGTTTTTTTGATTGTTTGGGCTTTTGAGTTAAGTGCATGATGAGGTCACCACTAAGGATGTGTTTGTGTGTGTATAGCTGCGTGTGTCGGGGCTCCAGGGCGATGACAGCACCATCAGGAGCAGCTACAGGCTCCTGGGGGCCCTGTCCCTGCTGCAGCTCCTCATCACTGTGAGTCTGCAGCTCAACAACTACAGGAAGAAGCAGAGAGCCCGGCAGGAGTGGCAGCTCCACAGGAACCTCAGGTACACACTGCCAGAGAACACACACTCTCTAAACCTGCATTCAAACTACTCATCCTTCATCTGAAGGCTCATCTTTCAGTGAGATATGTTGTTGCTTACTGAAGTCGTTAGAGTTCTTCTTCAAATCAATCAAACCTGGCCAATAGTTGTTCATATTTCCTGCAGCACAGTTCTGGCAATTTTTTTTTTTTTCTTATAAACAATATATTTATTGATTTTCCTTAATTTCTACAAACTCTGTAATGACACAACCAACACATGACAAATACATATCTGAGATTTTTCAAGGGAACTAACTCAAATATGACGTTTAAAGTGAACATATTCTGTTCAGCTTCATATTAGTATGTATGTAGTGTCTCTACTTTAAAGAGTCCTCTCCTGCTGATGTTCAGGTGTATATCAGTATGTAGTGTCTCTACTTTAAAGAGTCCTCTCCTGCTGATGTTCAGGTGTATATCAGTATGTAGTGTCTCTACTTTAAAGAGTCCTCTCCTGCTGATGTTCAGGTGTATATCAGTATGTAGTGTCTCTACTTTAAAGAGTCCTCTCCTGCTGATGTTCAGGTGTATATCAGTATGTAGTGTCTCTACTGTGACATGTCTCCATGCTTTAATGTTCAAAAAGCTCTTTATTTCTCTCATACTGCCTGTGCTGCAGCACCTCTTTTCACCCTCTGTCTGAAACCAGAGCCCAGTCTGCTCTGATTGGTTAGCTGGCCGGCTCTATTGTGAAAGGAAAGGGAAAGCCCCAAAGAGCATAATAGGGTAGTAATATATATTTTTCCGAGCAAAAAAAGAAGTACATCATATAATGTGCGGCTGTGGCTCAGTGGAAGGTGTGCTGGTCTTCGGATCAGTTGAGCACTGGTTCAATCCCTGCTGCACTCAGCATGTCGTTGTGTCCCTGGGCAAGACATTTCACCCCACTTTGCTCCTGTGGGGATTGCCCAAAGTGTGTGTAAGTCACCTGAGACTTACACATGTGGTGACATGTGTTGTAATGACATGTCATGTAATATCATAATTTACTAGCAGCAGTCGTTAGATTTCTACTTAGCAAACCTAAAATCAAAGACATGCCATATCTAAATGTCGGTGAAAAATGTCCCCCATTTGATCTAATATTTTAGACGAGTATTGTGCAGTTTACAGGTGATGAGTCAACCATGTCAAACTTTGGTTTTTCATGGTTGATATAAAGGGGACATTGAGGAGCTGAAACAGTGCCTGATTAGGGGATATTTGTATCCCGTCTTTTATTCTAAACTGGATTGCTTTGGATTTGGCACATATGGATATATTCTTGTCATAATTCCACATATCTTCCCATGTCAACTAATTGATAGTATGGTAACATTTAGTTGAAAGAATTTAGTTACGCAATTTCTTTAGATCTTAAGTGAACTATTAACACAATTGAGAATGCTGATTGTACTCCCTTAGAATCACCATGTGTATATCAGTGTCTCACCCAGGCAAAGACAAAACACAAAACTTTTATGGTGAACAAAATAAAGGGAAAAAAAGGCATGCCCGTGGAGGTATTGGAGAAAAACTAACTTTTTCTTCAAGAATTCATTGGGTGAGTTATTGATTTATAAAAATATCTGGGGGGTGAAGTATTTCTTTTAGAATTGAACTTTATTTAGAAGTGTTGCGCTGCAGTGAAAATTGTAAAAAGTCTGATGCTGAACTTTTTGTCTGCAGTCCTCAGCACACACACAGCGGGGGGGGGCCCCAGGGGGCCAGCTGTATGCTCTGCCTGGAGGAGCGCAGACACTCCACCTCCACGCCCTGCGGACACCTCTTCTGCTGGGAGTGCATTACAGAGTGGTGCAACACCAAGGTCAGCTGCAGCACACCCACGATACTCTCAAGCATATCTCACTCTGTATTGTCTAAAATCAGAATCAGAATAGAAGCTTATTACCAAGTAGGTTCACACACCAGAAAGTTGCTTTGCTGTAAATGATGCATACAAAGACAAAAATAGAAGAATATGGTTTATTTTTTTAAAGACAGGAGCAAAATAAAGTACTATTATAAAAGCTATTTCAAAGACTATTGTAACTATTTGAAAATGAAGGACCATATTTACACAAAATATAAATATGTAAGGAACTGAGTACAGTCAAATGAAATAGGACAAATACAAAATAGAAAGCGATGCAAGTTTAAAAAGAGTTAGTGTGGAGGAGAAATGTGCAACTTGTTAAAAGGGTTGTGCAGGATTCAGTATTCAGTACTCGCAGTATGATGTTCCCATGATGTGCATTAGTGTAATGTTATTCTGGGCTGGACAGTAGTCGGTGCGGGGGGCCGGGCCTGGTTGATGAGGCCGGTAGCAGAGGGGAAGAAAGTGTTCAGGTGGAGAGAGGTTTTGGTCCTGATGGATCGCAGCCTCCTGTCATGAATGGAAAGACAAGAGTGTTATTTAAAGAGCTTTCTCTCCAACTCTATTAAATATTCTGCCCCCAAAAAATGTATCACAAGGTACGCAGAGGTTTTCATGTTTCATCTTGTTATCAGAGTGCACTGACAAGTGTGAGAAGCACAAAACAAGCACATTACTTTTAAAGGGATCACATTTCAAGCTTTCTTGACGATGCATTGAACGCTAACTTTTTTTGACTCACTTCAATTAGCTGACACTTTGATCCAAAATCAATTAAGATGATCATTTTCAACATGCCTAAAAGCTAAGTGCTTCATACTGAAGTGAGATTTGTGTTTCTCGGCCAAGGTGCAGTCGAAACAGCTGGCTTTTCAGTTTGCGACGGAGGATTTGTAGACTTTCGTTCTACCATTTTGGAGTCAAGATAGTAGACAGGTGTGTTTTATAGCTGAGGGGCTCGATTGGCTGTTGCAGAGTGAAGTGCACGTGCTGGAGTGTTTGGTTTAACCATGTCCTGGATGAAGGAAGACTGGATCCCCTCACAGCACGGTAGACCAGCACCAGGGCCTTGAAGTGGGTTCAGGCAGCGGAGGAGGGGGGTAGTGTGGGAGGATTCTGGGAAGGCTTCAAACCGGTCGGGCTCCTGCATTCTGAATTAGCTGCAGAGGTGGGATGCAGGAAGTCCAGAGATGTGACAGTGAGATGGAGCCTGGACCAAAACATACAGTAGGTCTCCTTCTCAGTCAGTAGATGTATCCTCCTGATGTTGTAGAGTGGGTTGTAGCAGTGATGTTAGAAGTGAAGTTCAGCTGGTCGTCCAGGGTCACACCCAGAATCCTTTGCAGTCTGACTCTACAGAGGTGCTGATGAAAGGTCATGGATGGAAGGGTCCTTACCTGGAGGAAGAGCAGCTCTGTCTTGTTTAGGTTAGATAAGCAGAGCTTCCTATTTGATGTATTGTTGAGATTCCTTTTGTGGCTGCTAATGAAGTGAAATGAGGACACCACACTTTATCACCCTGCGTGGCCACACCCCCTCTGGTCAGGGTAACACTGAAACTGCCTCGCAGCAGCAGAAAGTTCCAAACTTCCCCCTTTAATCATTGACATTAAGTGGTCTATAAATGCCCCCGAAAGTCAGAGGCAATCAAAAGCACTTCCTCTCTTAGTTTAAAATAATAACTAAATGTAATCCAAAAACACATTAAGACAGGAAGCCTCAAACAGAAGAGCCATTAAAACCCTAACATATTTAACAGTGCTTTCTAGCAGTTAAAAGGAACATCTGTCTTTCTTCAAACCAGAGCACAGAGCCATGTTGAAAACATCACATCATTCTTATTTTCTGTCATTCTTCAGCCAACACTCGCTAAGATAAACATCACCAGCAGCACATTACCTCTGAATTAGCAAGTGGCCAAACTTTCAAATGAAATATGTCTGTTTTCTGGTTAATGTGCTCTCCACAAGCTGCTGTTTGTGTTCAGCCAAATAAGAAACAATGATCTAGCCCATCGTGATATCAAAATCTTACAATACAACATGTTATGCTTCTCATAACAATGCTTTAGGTTACTGACATGTGGCACAGTCAAAATGACTCAGAGCTTCATTGCACCCTAAATCATTCTACCTTTGTTTTTCTTCAGATAATTAAAGATAAAACCTTAAGTGAAATAAATGTCAGTTTATTATACAAAATACAAATAGGGGGGGGGGAAATGGCGGGTTGAAGTTGACTTGGCATTGATTAAAACTACACCAAATATATGAAGGTTAAAAAACTAACTTGTGATGTGTCTTGCGCAGGAAGTGGGAGTGGTGGAGGGTTGCCGGGGCTCTGGTAGGGTCATCTGATATACTGATGGGGGTCACACCATCCACTGATTAAAGCTTTTCATTTTTAACCATCAGGCAAATGTGCTGATACTTTCTGCTCTTTATTCTAGAGCAGGGGTGGACAAACTTTTTGGCTCGGGGGCCACTATCAGTTTTAAATTTGGCAGACGGGCCGGGCCTCGCAGCAGCAGAAAAATATTTAGCTGTCCACTCCTCATTATACACTTTGCACTCAATGTTGACTTTTCTTTTCTTTGGTCCACTCATTGTTGCAGGTTCAGAGGTGAATTATTGCATCATTGCGTCGTCGTTTGCGTCATGACGTAACCGTTTACGTGTCTTCTTATGACCCACACAGCGTTTTAGGTGGCTGATTTTCTCCGCAACACCGCTCACAACAACATCAATAGAGGACTGCGTCGGGTAGTTTTTAATTATACGAAGCCAGATTAAATTAAATAACTACTTCTCCAACCTTGTAGCTTTCTCCAGAGTGCCGTGGTGCATTGTTTATTAATGTGGTTCAGCTGCATGACTGCCCGCTGCAGTGCTGCTCGTCTACCAGAGTTTATTCTCCCGTTAACTCGCGGCAGCGGCCGCTGTAAAGTTTTCATTGTCTGACTGTCACACAAGCAGCTGATAAATATCCCCCATCCCCATAAGTGAATGTGTTTTAGTCTGATAGCTGTTTGGCATCACAACGCTGTTATGAGCGTTTCTCTGGCATTCTACAGGTGATGTTAGCTAATCAGACTATCTTGGCTACTTGTTGCTATCATATTGTGGCATAAGCCGTTTTCTACATGCATATTTTACCGGCGTAGTTTTCGTTATGATTTTACTTGTGATGGCCACATGTAGCCCATGTATTGATTCCATCCGATAGTTGCAATAATACAAAACAAAAGGAAAACGTCTGCCTCTCACAATGGTCAATAACAGTGAACGGATGGTTATTAAAGTAAGATCAAATAAACAGAATCACACTAAGCCTGGTTAGTGTTGCCTGACTTTAAGTGTTTTTTATAAGTGTGTGGTCGCCTTCTAGTCACTTTGCTCAGCGCTACTGCTTGTTACAACTTGTATTCGCCGTACTCGCCATGAACTGTTATTGCTCAGGTTAATCTCGCCCCCTCCAATGTAAGCGTGAAATATTTGGTTCTTTGATCTTGCCGGGTTGCCGAGTGGGGCCAGACTCCAGCAAAGGTAAATTGTGTCTCGAGTGCACCATCTAGTGGGATCAACTGAAATGCCGGGTATTGCAAGAAAAAGGCAAAATGAATGCAGTCTTTACTCTAATTTGGACAATTTTTTACCAATATTCGGCGGGCCGGATTTAAAAGCCCAACAAGTATGTGGTCCGTGGGCCTTAGTTTGCCCATGCCTGTTCTAGAGACTGCCACTACCACTGTGTACACATGTATCATCGTCATTAAACAGCTTCAGGTCGGCTATGTTTGCTAGTAGACAGCTGCTAATGAAGCTCTGTTTAAGGGACTACATTATGTGCAGTCATATCAATCCACAGAAAGAAGTCAATTTAACATCATCTGCGGACAACAAACATCAGTTTTCTGTCCCTCTCTACACACTGTCCCTCTCTGCACACTGTCCCTCTCTGCACACTGTCCCTCTCTACACACTGTCCCTCTCTGCACACTGTCCCTCTCTACACACTGAGTGTTGTTTCTCCCTCCCACAGGCGGAGTGCCCCCTGTGTCGGGAGAAGTTCCAGCCCCACAGACTGGTTTACCTGAGGAACTGCAGCTAGCACACAGACTGGTGTACCTTTGGAACTGCAGCTAGCACACAGACTGGTGTACGTGAGGAACCGCAGCTAGCACACTGACTGGTGTACCTGAGGAACTGCAGCTAGCACACAGACTGGTGCACTGATGCGTGTTAACCCTCTCAGGAACACGTGGAGACACAACAGAACTTTGTGCCAACATTCTGCAGTTCTTGAAGTATAAACCTTTAGCCTCTTATTATTTAAAAAAAAAAATTATGAACTGCCTCTTTTGTTTATTTTCAACAGAAGTTGCTGATTGAGAATAACATTATTGATTGTATCAGTCGAAATTGTGTAAATATAACCTTTTAATTCATTAAAAACCTTTGATTGGAATAAAATATGGGTCAAATATGTTGCTATTGCTCACGAGGTTTTTAATCAGGGTAAGACGGACATGTTTTTGATTTAAGATTTATTTGCCCTACAGTATTTATTATCTTAACATTCACTGGTGTGTTTAGTCTTCTTATTTTGCTATAAAAGCTTGACTGTTGTATAATACAAGCCGTGTCAAAAGATGTCACAAAACTACAGATGCATAAAGATCAGAATGCAGGTCAACTGAGATGATGGCTTTTATTGTTACCAAACAAATCTGCTTAATGCTGTGGCCCATTGTATCATTTAGAAATACATATAACAAAATCTTTACCCTTTGAAATTAATTTAAAAAATACAATTATATAATGAACAAATATTGTGTGGTTCCTTAATTTTGCAGTTTAATTTATTACACTTGTAACTTGCGTATTATGAAATAAGCAGGAGCTCCAACAAGCCGTTTAGGACACAGAGTGAATACACATACTATACAGAGATGCTGTATGAGAAACCAATGTGGGTTTGGAAAATTGCGCAATATAAATCTATTCTAGTAGACCTCAAAAATTGAATTATGATCAGTAGAAATGGCCATGACATGGAACCTTTAAAAGAGGCTAAGGCGGTTTTCGATACATTCTGTACGGTAGCAGTTAAAAAAAATCTGTCTGTTTTTCAATCATAAAACCAACAGAGCCTGGGGAGGAAAGCTGGGTTAACAAAGACTGATGATAACAACCGTTCAGGTACAAGTTATCTGGTGAGGCTTTTGGTTTTTATCGTCAGCTAAAGGAAATAAAACCTGGCCCTGAATTTGCTTTGTAGTTCAGCATCAGGTGTCACAAAAAATTCCTATTTATTTTAAAGATTTGTCTTCAAATATCTCTGGAGACCTTTGCACACCTCCCTAAACTCACATTCAGCAACAACTTGTCTTGTTCTGTTGTGTTTTATAATGTCAGTGTTAGGACCTCTCTCTCTCTCACACTTTACATGTTCATAAGAACTCTTAGGTCACGAGATGGAAAAGAAGATAAGGTCAAAGAACTCCAACCCAACGGATGATCATCTTAAGAGTGCTAAGTCTCAATAAATGACAAGTGTTCAAACCTCTGCAGTCTTACACAGGCAGAGAGCAGTTACTTCAAAAACAAGGTAAAGGCTTTGTAGTTAATACCTAATAACCCGGAGCCGGCTTCAGGTGATTCAATTGTACTTAAATGGTGAAAAATTTCCCCCAAAACATAGTTCGAGCTGCATTCAATAACTATTTTTCACTTTTTGCCACTAGAACAATCTGAAACAGCTGACATAATCTGACTCTCCACATGAAGAAATTCCAAAGATGCACCACTGTATCTGCATTTTGCTGTGCAGCCTTGTGTTACAGAATAACAATACATGATCCTTTAACACTTAAATATGTTATTGCTTCTACATTGTCCATTTGTTATAGCTATGAAATGTGATTGTATACAGTCAAATGTGTTTATGTTAAATACAGTATTGTATCTGCAGATATTAGTCTGAGTTAGTAGTGTAGTGAAAAACGGTAAATTTAGTAAAGAAAGAAATGTGACCACCCTGTATCGTACAAAACACAAATTCAGTATAATAATACATATACACCGTTACAGTAAAGCAGAGACAATGTAAAGAACACAGTAAAGCTGCTTTACTGTTAAACATCTTACAGTACTGCCAATGAGTAACCACAAACACAATACAACCTCTAACAGTGCACAGACCAGAGGCCCAAGTATCACTCGGACCCTTGTTTGTGCTGCTCTGGTGATTTACGGTGATGTTAGGAACATTTCAGAGTCTACAATCATAGCCTTTTAAAAACGTCCCATAACACAATAGGCTGCTGTCTGTGAAGCCATGTGTCTCCAGCCTGCCCCCCCAGCCATCTGAAAACAAACCTTGTATTTGGCATGACTCTTAGACAGTGCTAAGGTAAGTGTGATATGGAGAGAATGGGATGTGTGCAGACAGGTTCAGGCTCTGTTTGTTGTGGATGCTTAGTGATAGACATAGTCATATCTAATCTCACACACAGTCTTGACTTCTCCTGCAGTGAGACGACCTGAGAGGATGCTGTCACTCAGCTGAAGTCTATTAACCTGCTGTTCTCCAGTTCATTTTTAAATGTACAATGATGCGTAAGGTTCATCATTTCATAAAGAGAGACAGGGTACATATCATTGGAATTTTTTGTGTTATATTGAGACAACATATTTATGAAGCAACATTAGAATTTATTTGGAGTGTGTTTGAGTCCGCTTTACCAAAGTACTTGTGATGGAAATATCTGTCTTGTATCCACAAAAGTATTTTGTGTGTGTGTGTGTGTGTGTGTGTGTGTGTGTGTGTGTGTTCTAGCATTACTATACTTGTGGGGACCTAAATCTGTTTACACAGTCACGTGTGGGGACTCGCCTCCCTTATGGGGACATAATGGATGATCATCTTAAGAGTGCTAAGTCTCAATAAATGACAAGTGTTCAAACCTCTGCTGTGTGTGTGTGTGTGTGTGTGTGTGTGTGTGTGTGTGTGTGTGTGTGTGTGTGTGTGTGTGTGTGTGTGTGTGCGTGTGTGTGCGTGTGTGTGTTATGTGCACACAGCAAATATTATTAATATTCAGTTCATTTAGGGTTACAGGGTTAACCCTTGGTTGTGCAGCCTGGTGGCTACAGGCACAAAGGACTGTCCGGGGCGCTTAGTGCTGTGCTTAGCCGGTGCGTTTCAAAATAACATTAGCAGCTAAACTCGACATTAATGATTTTCTGAACTTTTCCCATAGCTGAGGCTAGCTGCCAGCCCTAAAGAGTGTTAACACCCAACATCCAGGCCTCACACACCCTGGTGGCTCCTCTGTGATGACACCCAGCCAGGTCCCTCTCTCTGCTGACACCCCCCCCATGCAGAGTGTGACCGGCAGTGGGAGCAGATGCTACCAGGCCAGCTCCGATCCCTGGCTAATTACACCCTGAAACAGAAACTTCTCTCTGCTTCGCCAGTGTCTTCAGGGAGATAACAGAGGCAGGCTGTGGATAATAAATGTATAATCTGCAGGATGATCTCCACTGGAAGAGACGCTGACTGTGAGATACTGCTCCTCCATTTATGAGTTTTGCTGTTTGTAGTGGTGCAAATACAAATTAAATAATTAAGTTGGTACATCCAGTTTTACAAACTTACCAGAGAAAACAAAAGACATTATTCTGCTTTTTGGGTTTTCCCCCTCCTGTAGTGTTCTATAGGTTTCTGTGCATGTAAATGGTCTGCAAAGGCTAAAATCCCCGTGTTCCCTCCAGAGGGAGTTTCTTATAAATACCTTTTTGAATATTACGCATTTAAACATGTCACATTTGAGGCAAAAAATATAAGCATTAACCTGAACATTTGCATAATATGACCTCCTTAACTCATATTCTACACATCAACTAAAATACGATTTACACCAAAAGTAAATGACACGTACTTTGCAGAGGAATAGATCAATAGAACAAATCGAATTCACTTGATAAATGATAATGTGTTACTATAGGTTAAGCTAGTATAAGTAATTCAAATGAGCTTCACCAGATGCAACATTAAAGTGGTGAAAACATGAAGATATCAATAATTATAATACAATAGTTTAATATGATTCTGAAATTAGCAAAACTGCATAGTGTGTTTTTTAACTTTTGTAACTTCATTACAATTTATTGTAATTTTATTGTAATTATTGTAATTATTTTTTGTAACCTATGGTGTCTGTTTGTGGTCATCGGGCGCCCCCTGCTGGGTTCTAGGATAAACTGCTCTGGGATTTTGCTAGGTTATAATCACAGGACAAAGAAATACTCACATCTTTTACTTACGTAAAAGTATTATTTCCACAGTGTAGAAATACTCTGTTTCTTGTAATATACCACATTATTTTACTTAAAATAAAATTGCAAAGATATTATATATTACGTGACTAACGTAATGTGATTACGTTATGATTATTGACGCATTCATTTGTTAAAGACTTTAGTTGGAGCTAACTTTAATGACTCTTTATACTGCCAGGTATCTTCATACATGAATATACATAATAATTTATTAATAATGTCGAGTAAGAAATACAATATTTGCTTCGAATTGTAGTGGAGTAAAAGTCTGAAGTCATACAGTATTAAATCCTATACAATTTTACTGCATTCGTCTGAAAGCTTTAGTTACTTTACAGTTTAAGATTTATGCTAAGACAAAATATAAACCATTAATAAATCAACAGGGTCATATAATTATAGGGTTAAATATCCAGCAGCAGAATACAACATTTTATACAATGAGCTCTTTTGTCAGCTGTGATGGACACATTATAATGCATCAATAATCATAATGAACTCATTTAATATATTTGATATATGAGGGGCCATTTATAACAAGTATGTTTTGTTTTTGTACTTATAGTAGGCTACTATAGCAGTATGATGCTTAGACTGTTGTACCGTTACTGAAGTAAGATTTTGTATGTCTTGTAACTGAGTATTTCAAATGTTTGGTATAGGTACTTTTACTTTAGTACTTCTTCCATCACTGCCTTTAAAGCCCCCCCCCCATTTTTTTAAATGTCTGTTAAACTTGTTCCTTCAACATACAGTACCATCACACTGTGGTGCTAATATGATGTGTGAAAAGTCTCTCAATATTCTGCAACATCTAACAAAGTGCATATGAACATTTTTCCCGTGCAGCAGGAGCAGAAGTCTTATATTAATGTTTGAATAAAAACATGTTTTTCAGCATGCAACTGTTGCTTTTTAGGTTGAGTTCTAAAAAGGGGTAGAATGGAGTAGTTTGTTGGTAGGCAGTTATACTTTGTGAAAGATGCCTGTCCGTGGAAACCCTGAACTGAGAAGGTTTTTTGGAAAATGACACTGTGGTCGAGCTCAGATCCCTCCGGTGCATCAGGTAAGAAAGACCCAACACAAACCAAATGAAACAGGAAGCTGAATACATCTGCTTTGAGACACACTGTTTATATCAAAGTGTTTCCAGCAAACAGATCTAAAACTGAACGTTCAATGCAAAACAATTCATTAACATTGTTGAACATTTAGCATACCAGTGTCTGTTAGCTGAGGCCAATATAATTACGGTATCTCACCACTCTTAAATCCGTTTTCCTTTTAAAATAAATAAATTATTGTAAAAGATGTGTGTTCACAGTAACACTGACAGCCCTGGTAACTCTGTTCTGGAGTTCATCGGTGAAGGCTAAGACCGTGGCTGTGAAGATCCTAAAGAAGAACACAGATTACCTTCAGG